AACAACTTTCCCTAACATTCCCCTCAAATGGATTGCTGGAACTTTATCTCCATCAACAATGTGAAGGGATTCTGCCTGTGCAGGGCCAGCTCGATTGACAGAACCCCTGGTGTTAACTAGCCAGGTAGGCTTCGCTAAGTTTTTGTCCCAGTTTTTATAAGTTCCTTCACCTAATGACTTTAGAGTGGTCTTCAATAATCCGTTATATCTCTCAACCTTCCCAGCAGCTGGTGCATGATAAGGAATGTGGTACACCCATTCGATACCATGTTCCCTCGCCCAAGTGGTAACTAATTCATTTTTGAAATGAGTCCCGTTGTCTGACTCAATACGTTCGGGGATCCCGTGTCTCCACAGGACTTGCTTTTCAAGACCCAGAATGGTATTCCGGGCCGTTGCGTGGGGTACTGAAAAAGTCTCTAACCATCCCGTTGTTGCTTCCACCATGGTAAGTACATAGCATTTACCTTGACGGGTCTGTGGCAGTTTGATATAATCAACCTGCCATGCCTCTCCATACTTATATTTATTCCATCGTCCACCATACCATAGGGGCTTCAGTCTTTTCACCTGCTTAGTAGTGGCACAAGTCTCACAATCATGGATAACTTCAGAAATGATATCCATGGTTAAATCCACCCCTCGGTCTCGTGCCCATCTGTGGGTGACATCTCGGCCTTGATGACCAGAAGCGTCATGGACCCATTGAGTTAAGAAACAGCTCTCCCTTCTGCTGCCAGTCTAGGTCTGCTTGTGACACCCCTATCTGTGCAACTCGGTCTACTTCTCTGTTGTTATTATGTTCTTCATTAGCTCGCTTCTTGGACACATGGGCATCTACATGGTGGACTCTCACATTCAGTCTCTTTGCTCTGGCAGCGATGTCCTGCCACAAGTCAGCAACCCAGATGGGTTTTCCTCCACGCCTCTAGTTCATCTTCTTCCATCGGTCTAACCATCCCCATAGAGCATTGGTTATCATCCACGAGTCTGTGTAGAGGTAGAGTCTCGTTCGGCGATGTCCAGGGCCAATTGGACGGTTTTGAGCTCTGCAAATTGACTCGACTAGCCTTGACCCTCAGCAGCTTCTGCCACTCGTCGGGTGGGACTCCAAACGGCTGCTTTCCACTTCCGGTTCCTTCCTACAATACGGCAAGAACCATCAGTGAAAAGGACATAACGCCTCTCTTTATCTGGCAGTTGATCAAATGGCGGAGCTTCTTCAGCTCGGCTCACTGGTTCTTCTTCTTCTTCTGCCAGACTGAAGTTCCCACCTTCAGGTCAATTTGTGATAACCTCCAGAATTCCAGGGCGATTTGAGCTTCCCAATTGTACACGCTGCGTAATCAAGGCTATCCACTTGCTCCACGTAGCATCGGTGGCATGATGCGTAGGGGGCACCTTTCCTTTGAACATCCAGCTCAAGACTGGTAATCGGGGTGCCAGGAAGAGCTGTGCTTCGGTACCAATTACCTCTGAAGCTGCTCGTATACCTTCGTACGCCGCTAAGATTTCCTTTTCCACAGGGGTGTAATTGGCCTCAGAACCTCTGTAACTTTGGTTCCAGAAACCCAGTGGTCGCCCTCGCGTCTCGCCAGGCACCTTTTGCCAGAGGCTCCAGGAGGGACCTTTATCTCCAGCTGCAGAGTAGAGTACGCTCTTTACATCTGGTCCCGTTCTAACTGGTCCAAGAGCCACAGCATGTGCAATTTCTTGCTTGATCTGCCTGAAAGCTTGTTGTTGCTCAGGACCCCACTGGAAATTGTTCTTTTTACGGGTCACAAAGTAAAGAGGGTTCACAATTTGACTGTATTCTGGGATATGCATCCTCCAGAAACCTATTGCTCCCAGAAAAGCTTGGGTTTCTTTCTTGTTGGTGGGGGGAGCCATTGCTACAATCTTGTTGATTATGTCTGTTGGTATCTGGCGTCGTCCATCTTGCCATTTCACCCCTAGGAATTGGATCTCTGGGGCAGGTCCCTTGACTTTGCTCTTCTTGATAGCGAAACTGGTCTTGAGGAGAATCTGGATGATCGTCTGTCCTTTTTTGAAAACTTCCTTTGCTGTATCCCCCCATACAATGATGTCATCGATGTACTGGATGTGTTCGGGAGCCTTACCCTTCTCTAGTGTGCCCTGGATCAGTCCATGACAGATGGTTGGACTGTGTTTCCACCCCTGGGGCAGTCGATTCCAGGTGTATTGAACGCCCCTCCAGGTGAAAACAAACTGTGACCTGCACTCTGCCGCTAAAGGAATGGAGAAAAACGCGTTGGCTATGGCGATGGTGGCGTACCACTTTGCTGTCTTGGTCTCCAACTCGTATTGGAGCTCCAACATATCTGACACGGCAGCACTCAACGGTGGCGTAACTTCATTTAAGCCACGATAGTCCACAGTCAGTCTCCACTCTCCATCGGATTTACGCACAGGCCAGATGGGGCTGTTGAAGGGTGAATGGGTTCTGCTGACCACCCCTTGGCTCTCCAACTTTCGGATCATTTTGTGGATAGGGATCACAGCATCTCGGTTTGTCCGATACTGTCGTCTGTGTACAGTTGTTGTGGCTATTGGCACTTCTTGATCTTTAACTCGCAGTAATCCTACAATGGAAGGGTCTTCTGAGAGGTCAGGAAGGGCAGACAATTGCTTGGACTCCTCTTCAATCACCGAGGCTATACCAAAAGCCTACCGGTACCCTTTCGGGTCTTTGAAGTATCCTCTTCTTAGGTAGTATATATCAAGGATGCAAGGGGCTTCTGGCCCCGTCACAATGGGACGCTTTTCCCATTGGTCTCCCGTCAAGCTCATGTCCGCCTCTACTACTGACAATTCTTGAGACCCTCCGGTCACTCCAGAAATAGTAACAGTCTCGGTGCTCTTATACTCTGAAGGCATTACAGTACACTGGGCTCCAGTATCTATCAAGGCCTGGTATCTCTGAGGATCCGATGTGCCAGGTCATCGAATCCACACAGCCCAGTAAACTCGGTTATCTTCCTGGTCCCTCTCCTTCTCCTGGCAGAAGGCAGGGCCCCTCTACTGGTCTTGATCAGAGCATTCGTCGTCAGAGTTTGACTTTGACTTCTTAGACTTTTTGCCGTTGTCGAAGTGGACCTCCATCTTCTCGTGTTTCAGCGATCACAGTTTCTCTTCTAAGAAATCTCCGTCTACTACATAGACAACTTTCTTGTCAGTCTTCTTTCACTTCAGCTCCCTCACTCTAGCTTCAAGCTTAGAAGTGGGTTCACCATCCCACTTCTTCATGTTTTCTCCTTTACTACGAAGATATGCCCATAGTTGGTTACGTGACCAACGCTTAGAGTTCTCTTTCCTTCGACGTGTGAATGACAGGGACCGTGAGCGAGATCGAGACCAGGATCGAGGTCTGGGTCGAGGTCGTCTTTGTCGGTCCCGCCGTGATTTTCCCATTGGCCTTTCTTGGTAATCTCTATACCTTCTGTCCTCTCTGTCTCTAAGGTCGTCCTCATATCTGGAATATTCATAATCTCTCTCCATTCTTTCCCTATCGTAGGTGCGTCGGTAGAGGGGATTGAAGGAGTCTTCCATATTTTCCTCTATGGTTCTTATCCAAGTACACATGGTTTCCACGTTTGGTTCCTCCATCTTTGGATTATATGCGGATATCAAGCAGGAAACATATGGTTTAGGAGCACCTTGAATTACCTTTTTCCACATTGGTTGCGTGCAGGGAACACTCTCAGGAACTTGGATGTCATAATAGTCTGGATCAGAATAGATGATCTCCAGCATGGTCAATTCCCGTAGGTATTGGATGCCTTCTTCTGCAGTTCTCCACCTTCTTGAAGAACTCTTCAGGGACTCCTTAAATGGGTATTTCACTCTCACCGCGTGGAGGATTCGGAGTCAAAGGCTGGACGCCATTTTCTCCCTCCCCATTTCTTGCTCTATCACAGGGTCTCGAGCAATGGATCCCAATTGTCATGCTTCATCACCTTCAATTACATGACTATCAACTCCCTTGTCCCAGCATCGCACCAACCAGGTGAGGACTTCTTCACCAGGCAAGCGCATATAATCTCTCCGTAAATCTCGAAGCTCTCTTGTGGTCAGTGATTGTGTAATTTCGCTTTCTCGCATTATTTCTTGTCCATCTCTCCCACGTAGAATCTTTTCCACCTCTCTCTTTACTCTTCCACTCCTACGTGGGACTGTTCCCACTTCCTCCCTATATCTCTCATGTGGAGGTGGAGACTGGGCATGCCGTGGGGATAAGTTTCTATATTGTTCACGCCGCGGAGATGGACTTCTGCATCGTTCACGCCCTGGAGATGGACTTCTATACCAGTCACGCCATGGGGATGGACTCCTGAGTCGTTCGCGATACCCCGCGGGTGGAGGTAGTGAGTAATCTTTCGTGTGCTGAGATAAGGGCCTCCTCCTCCAATCATTCACACCTCCAAGAGAAGGTTGGGTCTGGAGGGGTAGGGATAATTCCCCCTCCAATTGAGGGGGATACTTTGGCTCCTTCTTTGCGTCTTTTGCAACACTGAATGTGTAGTCAGGGTATAAATCATCAAGCGACAATATACCACCGGCCGTTTGCACTGTTGCTTTCTTTTCTTTTGATGCCGTTCTGTATTCCTTTGGGCGTGCCCCTAGTTCCTTTGGACGTGCTCCTTCCCATGTAACCGTTTCTTCCTCTCTGGTAGCTGCTTCTTCTCTTCCAATCGCTCCTTCCTCAGTCACAACCACTTCTTCCTCTCTCGCAGTCGCGCCTTCATCACTTGCTGTTGCTCCTTCTCCCATTGCTGCCGCTCCTTCGTCCACTACGTCCTCTGTTCCTTCTTCTTCTTCCTCTTTTTCTTCTGTGCGTTCTAGTTGCGGAGATGGGTCCGTAAGTTCCTTGATCTCCCTTACCCACGTCTTCTTCTTCTTTATAGGGGCAATGATGACCTTCCGGTTCTTAGCTTGAGTCCCGGTTCTAGTGGACTTAGTAGAAATGGCATTGACTTCAGGTTGTGTTTGGACCCCAACTTCTGTGGACCTAATAGGGACATCACTGGTTTCAAGTGGCATGGTTTGGGTCTCTGTGTCGACCTTAACCCTCTGAAGGTGGTCTATGGCAACTCGATAAGCATTAGCCAGGCCCCAGCACAAAGTGGAGAATTGAATATTCGGATCTTTGTAGGAAAAGTACCCTTCTGCCAAACAGTGGGCCATCTCACCAGAATCAAACATTTGTTCTGGTGTGAACTCCCAATTAATGGGGGGTGACACATGTCCTACTAATCTACCGAAATCTTCCCAAGCTCCATGCCACCCGGGGACTGGCCTGTCTGCAACCCTTTCCAAAGTTCCAGCGAGTCCCTTTGAGGTATGATCTTTCCTACAAGAGGGAAAGCAATGGAACCCCATTCTTCCAAGTTTAAGGAGCACTTCCAGTACCTTTATCAATGACAGTACTGTTGCAATAAGATTTATATAGCAATTAGAGCCAATTTTGACCATGGGGATCTCCTTTACCAAACCTTTGATGTCAAAATTAAAGGATGGAAGCAATTCGTTCCATCCATCCTCAAGGTCTGGACGTCTCCCTATAGAGTAGCCTAACACAGGTGTAAAGATGGTTAGAATTATAAGACAAATTAATGAAATAGCCATTGTTTTTGTTATTATTTCTTCTTGATCCCAAAACAAACTTTTGTTTATATAAACAAAGTTTCCTTGGCTGCTTTCCCAGACTCTGGCAGTGTTCCCAGACCTGTTCCCAAAACAATAGATTGGTTTGCAAAACAACACTGAGCTTGGTTGTCTTCCTGGAAAATGTTTATCAAAACAAACCAAACTTAACTAAAATAACCATCCTCTGCTACCAGAAACGTACAAGTTTTGAGCTGGCTTCCCGCCAAGTCCCCTGAAACTCGACAACAAGGACCCACCTCCCAGAGAGGGAAAAGAGGAAAAAAAAAAACCAAGCAACCAAAGCTATAGCAAAAATATATATATATATATATTTTACATATGAGACAGATACACAAAAGGAGAATCACACACTGGGGGGGGGGGAGGGGGGGGAGGAAGGGAGAAGGACAAAAAGGGGCAAGGACCAAGCAAGTCAAACAGCCAGTCGAAGGCAAACTAGCAGAAATCTCACCACTTCCCTTCGAACAGGCAGGATGACCAGACACGGTCCCAGGCTCTCCCCTCACGCGTGGCGGATAACGGCAGTCACTGTAGGCCTCGGCTCCAGATAAGTCCGACCGAAACAGGGACCCACCGTTCTCGAACCTCGCCGGAGAGGAAGAGAGAGCTTGATCCCTCCCGCTGGTTTTATTTGTACCTCAAGTTACATAAAGGAATAGTATGGAATACTTCCGTGATCACTTTTCTAGTTCCTTCCTGGTTACAAGTTGGTCTCCAGGAAGGCCTAGAGTGAAACCACCACAACTGTTCTGTAACTTGTTATTATAATAAAGAAGGCGGATATGTGAGGAAAGGGTTAACTCCTTATAGGAAGAATGTCACAAGGAAGGATGGGAAATGTAGTCTCCGCAGTAAGCCCCCGAAGAAAGTGCTCAACTGTGCATGCCCACTGAACAGGTTCAAGAATGACCATTGGGAAGAAGTATGTGCTCTATGGTTACGTAACCTCTGATGTCATTGGGGGTATATAAACGTGTGCTTAAAAACAATTTGCCAGCTCCAATCTGGTGGGTCCGTGCAATCACTGTCACACCTCTCCTTCCCTCTACTGTTGGGCTGGCTAATACGGAAAGGGGGGGAGAGAAGAACTATCTGTTGGCCCCTGTGTGTTCTGGACCTGTTCCAGGCTCACAGCCTGTGAATATTCCTGCCCTCTGTGCCCTGATTCAGCTTGGGGGGCTGTGGCAGAACCAAAAGGAGGGTCACTGTTTGTTCTCAATGTGAACTAACAATGTATCAGAAATTGACTGTTTGCAGAAAGCCTTTCCAGCAGACAGACCTGAAAGTTGTGCCACCAGAACTCAGGTTGAGAGTCACGGAAACAACTTTGTGCAGAAGTGAATGAATAGCAGAACATGCTTTAACAACTGCAAGTGAGACACACCAATATGAGGCCTAATCATCTGAAGTAAACAAGAAAGACCAATAAGGAAAAGCTTCTGTCACGGTTAAGAACTGTTGTAAAATCAGCCTGTGACCTCCAAAGGTGGTGTATACAGAAGAATCAAACTGCCATCTGAATAATACTGTCAGAACACCAGACAGTGTAATGACTATTGTATTTTTGTTTTATTATCTTTTTACTTTTGTTGCTTTTAGGTTTCTTTTACTGTTAGTTTAGTTGCAGTAGAATTGAAAGTATATACTGCTTTCGCTACGTTTTTGCTTTAAAGTTTGCAATGTTCATATCTGTTCTTGATGCCAAAAACAAAATCAAATGACTGCTTAGAGACAGTTTTAAGTCTTTAAGCAGCAAAGGTATTTATTTCGAGCAATGTTGGAGAACTAGCCAGCTCATGCTGGACAAACTAGCTCTGAAGTTCTCAGTGAAAAGTCAGGTAATTTATACAATTTTGGTGAGGGATTACAGTATTTTACATGAATATTTATTACAATTACATCATCTAGTTATAATATTCATATCAGGTGGGGTTCAGGTGGAGTTTGAGGTAGAGTCATCCTTTTGGGTAAATTCCTGGGGGTCATTCCACTTTCTTCGACCTCATGGGGGTCATTTTCTTGCTCCTCATCTTCATGAACTTTTCAACTTTTCCTGACTACGTGCGAAAGTCTTACTAAAAACCCCTTTACTCAGCTCTCCAACCCCCCTGAATGTCCATTTTATCTAATTTATGACTACTAGGCTAACCTTTTTGTTATATTTCATTAGGATAGAGCATACTAAGGACAAACAGGCCTCTCGGAGCCTGATACCTTCTCTCCCTTAATGTGTTTTCAGTCTCTGTCATTACAACCTAAATGCAGCATTCCTCAAAGTGGGATCTGTGAGCCTCTTCTCGGAGCAGGATTTTAGCCTCTAAAAATCCTTGCTCTGTTTCATTCTGTCCTAGTAGTTTGACAGCATTTTGCGAGCACTGTTTGGAATAGCTGTGTCTCTGACTACTGCAGCTTGTGGAATAGATTCCTCCCTGATTTGGTTTGGTGGGGAAATCCACATAGGATTTCATGTAATTGTGAGATCAAATTTATCTACCTTATGCCTCTAAAATGCTTTGTCATGCAGTGTCATCTAGGAGTGTGTGAAGTACAGAAGAAGAGTCCTGTGTTAGGATGGAAAGGGGAGTAAGAAAGTGTCTACGGTACTGCAAACATAGGACTGTTTCTGTGGACCCTTCCATGGGACCCTGAGATCTGGCTCGCATCTTGCCTGCAGTCTTTGAGACAAACTGGTAACCCCATAGTGAGATGATTTGTTTAGATTGCTTAGATGATTTGTTTAGATTGTTTCCTATCTTTATTGCAATACAGCTGTTTTGTTGGTGTTCATATACACATATAGGCACATATACATGAGTGCACCTAACCCAATACATGAGGATGCTTTTATCCATGGAGGCAAGAGGTACTTGCACTACCACTCCAAGGTAAAGATGACCGACTGCAGTCTGGGGCAGACTGTGGCAGGATGACCTGTTCCCCAATAAGGCCTGGAATCTGTCCGGAGAGTGCAAGTTCTCTGTGATGAGCTACTGGCACTGCCAGGGTGCTGTTTGGTGTTGCATCCACATGCAGCCTGCTTCAGGTAAGCTCCTAACTGGCCTATAGATCTGTGACTGGGAGTTAATCACTTTATGTTATAAAAACTCAAGTTCCTCTCACACAGTCAAGATGCAGGAATTCCAAGATTTGGGATTCCTTTGAGATTGTCATCAGACAGAGTCACACTTCATCAACAAAATAACAAATAAACAGGGTTTGTCAAGAAACATCTATGATATGGGTTCAGGCCTCACTAAAAATCCACATACAACAAGTGGAGAAACAACATAAGTCCCTATATTCAACTAAGGGAAGGTTAATTTGCAAAATTGTTTACTGGTTTAGGCTCTGCTTTACAGGAACTACAGAGATTCGTCATGTTATCTAGACCCATGGGACCGGACACTCCTGTTTATCCGTTCCAGCCCAGAGACTGAGCCTATGTTAAGAGATGGAACTGAGCCCCTGCAAGCCAAGTGGAAAGAACTGTTTCAAGTTCTGCTGACCATCTCCATCGTGGTCAGAGTTGTTGGTAAAGTTTAGGAGTCTGGTTTTAGGAAGGATGCTGGACAAGGCATCCTGGGAAATGAAATCTCGAAGTATTCCCACACATAGGTAGTGAGAAACCCCTGGTAATTGGTCAAGGGAGTCACGTGTTACTATCCAAACCCATATATAAGCTGTTGTCTCATTTGAATAAAGAGGATTTGGCAGTGAACCTCCAAGCTAGCCGGGTCCATATGGTTTATTTACTTATTATATTAATAAGCAATATCTGGTACCCTGAATGTTGGGCACTCCCTGTATCAGGGATGATTAGAGACTGCCTTGTAACAAGGAGAATTACGGTAGCGTTCAAACGAGATTGTTTTAAAAGCTGAGGAACACTTCTCCAGAAAAAAGCCAGAAGTCGCATACCAAGCTAAAAGTAGGCAGAGAACGTCATTAAAGAAAGGACATCAAATACCAGTGCAAAAAGGACTGGGACATTGTGCAGAGGACCGTGTGAGAGCTCCAAAAATCTGATTACTGTGCACACGAGAGACCTGGCAGAGAAAACTTTGAAAGAAAGAAAAGGCAAAGCTACAGCCGGCATGGGAAGTTAAAATTCAAGGGAAATAACAGAAATAACTATATCAGGACTTCTGCTAAGCAGAATCCTTAGTGTGACTGCTTGAAAAAAGTTTACTATTCAAACCCATATATAAGCTGCTGTCTCATTTGAATAAAGAGGATTTGGCAGTGAACTCCCAAGCTAGCCAGGTCCATATGGTTTATTTACTTATTAATATTAATAATATTAATAAGCTATAGCAAAGGACCCTGGATTTGTTACCCAGAGGAAAAAAACCTCTGTTCTTTAGACAAGTGGAACAACAGAGACTGTAACAGACTGTTAAAATTATGTTTAAACTGTTTTTCTGTGTGTATTGCCTAATACCACCGGTAACTATGGATTGGGTTTAGAACCAAAATTTATATTTGGTTTAGCAAAACTATATCCAATATTCTTCATGAATATGAGTGCTGGATTTGCACTATGGATTCAGCTGAAATTTGGCAACAAGCTTAAATTCTACACTGGGCAATTCCGGAGGATGTCTCATTAGGTTTATGGAGATATCTTCTATAAACTTACTTCATGGTTACCAAATCTGAACCTGGATAAAGCAGTTATTCATGTTAGTTGTATATAGTGTTAGATCTGCATATTAGCTTATTGTATGGTTAGTGTTGTAGGTATTAGTCATCTTACTGGTATAATGTTAAGTATAGGTAGTAGAGACTGGACAAGATAGAGTTTTGTCCATCTCTAAAGGGGGGACTGATGTCTATGGATTTTTTTGATTTTTAGCTTTTTGTAGATTTTAGAAGTAGCTGTAGTTAGCTCACCCTTTAGCACAGTAGTTTACATATACCCAAACCCTTTTCCCTATTTCATATCAAACCTTCTAAATTCCTTAGCTTGTTTAGACTCCTCTCAAGGTAGGCCTTCTTTCTAAGAACATTTGCACCCTGGCTTGAACAACCAGATACCCCACAGACAAAGCATCCTTCAAAACCCAGAACTTTGGAGAAGCTCCAAGGACTGGACATGCTGTGATGAAGAGGAAGATGAAGAAGAGGGGGTCTCAGGATCCCTAACTCAAATTTCAGAGGAGTGTGCCAGGGGGAGGATCTAGGGGGCAGATAGATCTGGGATTGGATGGGCAAACACCTTAAATTGTGGAACCCCCTGGACACGTGTGCATGTCTCTGTTCCCCCGTGGTGGTTGAAGGCCTTCTATTAAAACTGTTCTTTTATCTTATCTCTATAATAATTGCCTGGTGAGTAATTTTTTGACTCCCAAATGATTCTTTCAGGCAACAATTTGAATAACTTTTTGCTTTCTGCTTAAAGAGCAGGGAGTGGAAGAGAGAAACTATTGAGAATCTTCCCCTGAGATGTCATGGGCTCTATGATATCTGTTGATAGACTTTGATTAAAAGGCTACCATGGTACAGTATGGGAATGCTGTATTAGTTGTCTTATGTGGCAACAAAACTGCTGCTAATCGACAGATCTATAATAGCTGGTTTGGCTTGTTTATTTACTAAGTAAATATTTGGCTTCAAGTAAGAGTTAACATTTAAAAAAAAATCAACAACATTAACTTTGTAGAAGAACAGCTAGGGGATGATATCCAGAGGAAACTCTTATGCCCCGTGTTTATTTTTATCTATATTTCATTGAACTCAGCTCATCTAATTTTTGCCATCTGAAGGTTAGACACCCAGTTGTCTAGACTCCCTCTCTAGTCTGTGGAGAAAGTGCTAGATGGGATGAATCGCCTGCCAGAGATGTTCTCTTTAGATATGTCTCAAATGGCATGAATGTGTCTCTGGATGCACCTGTTTGTCTGTAGGTGGAGGCTTATGACTACTCCAGGTAAATGCCTAACTTAAATAGACACAGCTGAGTAAGAGCTACCCCACCCTTCCTTGTGTGTGTTCCTCACCTTTTCATCTGCACTCTTTCACTGGAAATGGAAAAGTTTTTAAAGTCAGGAATTGTCTTCTATGCTAAAGTGATGGGATAGTGTCACGAGAAAGCGGGGGGGGTTGCCCGACTCTTAGAGAGGGGAGATTTTCTCTAGCCCCAGTGTTTTGTCTGTCAGTGCCCCAGGAAAGCTGAAACCCTTATGTCCAACCTGTCTGTCAGCATCTCGTAAGGGGAGAACCCTTCACTGAACAGATTCACGGGATAGGAGGGTGATTTGTCTACCCTTTTCGGGGGCCTAAGCCAACAGTGTGGAGACTCCTCAGCAAGTCTTCCCAATGTGTTATCCACTGCCGGCAACTGCTAGCACCTTATAAAGGACTCACTCTAACAGTTTATGGAATAACACTGTTTATTAATACAAATTGTGACAAGTTGATAAGGTTCATAGGTTGTCAGTGATAGTGTCTGACTGCAAAAACTTATTTAAAGTAATCTACTAATACTACAAAATAAGCACAAACTCTAGTACTGATGCCTTAAAATCTATATTATATAAGATTTTAGTATAGCTCGTTAGTACTTTTAGCTTGCTAAGTACCTTTGTACAAGATTTCTAAAATGCTGTTTGGCATTCTTTGTTAAGAATTTCAACAAACAAGGGGTTTTAATGAGGTTAAGAGTTTTCTATCTGTAAAAATGTACTGAGAAAGAGACATAACACCTGATATAACTAGTCAAAGCTTTTCAGAAGCCTTGAATCCATTCCAGAAGGCGTGATACTGTGCCAAAGACCAAGGAACAAGATGAGGAAGACAAAGATAAGGGGTCTTTGGGACCTCCAACTCTAATTTGGGAGGCGTGTCAAGGGTGGTACTAAGGGAGGGACAGTTTTGGAAGTGGGTGTAACAGTATTAGGTAATGCTTTGAATTGTTAATTAGGTAACTAAAAAAAAGCAAGAAGGTTTTGTAACTCTACATGCACGCTTTTGAAGAAATTATATTCTCATGCATCTGACATCATAATAAAGGAATGCTGCCCACTAAAACTCACAAATTGAGTCTTAGGGGTTTTCTTTTAAGAGCCAGTTTTAGGTATCAGTACTAATAACAGCATTTAGCACACATAGAATGAGTTTCTTACCCAGTAGGCATCCCTATAGGGGGAGAAGACAGGTTCAGCCCATTGACTGATCCCAGCAGTTTTGGTGGAGTCTTCCTCCAATGTCTCCCTATTCCCAACTTACTTTTATACTATCTCTTTAGGTTTAGGTGGAGCTTGAGTGACTTTAGTCATAAGTACGCAAATAGGGTAGTCGTCCTTGGCATCTATCTCCCCTGACTGACAGATACTGTATGGTATTTGAACTACAAAGTATCAACCATGTTCCCCTTCATGCAGAGATGTCTATGGAGGGAGGCCACAGTGTCTCCACTCCACTTCCCTCTCCGTTCCATGCCCTGTAACAGGTGCTTATCATTGTTTAGGGAACCTTTGTGGGGCATGTCGACTGTGTTCCATCCAGGGAGCAGCAACTGCATTTTACCCTGTAATTCTTAGTCTCCTCTAATTTTTAACCCTATCCATTGTTGCACAGAGCACTATATTACCCCTCACTTCCAAGCTCATTGTAATCACAAAGTCTGGGCAGGGAAAGGAATGCTGAGATGCCTCATCTCCCTGAGCTGATGAGACATCTCATCTCCCATGAGAATCATTGGGAAGTGCCAGGGCTCCTGTCTGTGCTGGGTGAACCAGCACCTCACAGCCTTGTAGGGCTCAGGGTGGGACCCCTGATCTGGTTCTGCAGGTTACTTGTGGCTATGGTGCCAACTATATATGCATGTGCAACATCTGAATGAGCTAGAGGAACACATGACAGATTTGCCTAAGGAGTAGAAAATAGATTTCCACTTGTAAATAGTGAGACAGACATGGAATAGATGTGGTTTTTCATAGAAAGGAGAGATTAACAGAACTGCAGCTACATCCTCTCCTGGAGAGCTCCTCCTTTGCCCAAGTAATTCCATCTACAGCAGACTCCTAACTTGGGTCCCTTGTAGGAGGTGTGGAAAAAAAATCTGACTGTGACTGCCTTTTGCTTCTGCTGATAAAGCAAGAATTGTTCAAGTAATTCATGCTTGTGGTCTGTGCAACAATAATAT